TTTCTCAAGGAAATTTTCGTTCAGATTAATTTATAGAAATGAGGGAGAGTTCTAATAGGAATGTATACTCAACTGGTTAAGGATTAGTGGAGGATCTGTATTTCTATAAGAGTTACATAAAAGATATGAAAGAACTGAGGGAAGTTTATTTCTGCAATTATGTGACATGAGTGAATTTCGAGGACGAAATTCTTTTAAGGAGGGAAGAATTGTAACACCCCAATTTAGGGGCTAAATTTAAGAAATTATAAAGTTATGAATTTAATTGGTATTTTTGGAAGGAATCGGGTATTAAATTATAAGATTTCAAAGTTGGCAGACCGTTTTATGAAGTGCATAAAGTTCAGTGGCTAAACTCTTGGTTTACCCATTGTTTATATATGTTGAATTATAAATCTCTTCTCCCGTGCGCAGATGCATATTTTCCAGTTTTCCCTCTCCAACAACCCAACTTCCAACTCCGATCTACTCGTCGTCCGACCTCCAAACGACGAGCCGAAACCACCATCGTGTTCGTTGTCAACCGAGGAACAAAACCCCTCAAACCTTTCGTCGTGAATCATCGCCGTTCGTCGTGAATTTCAGTCGGAAGTATCGTCGGTAATAACTCGGTTTTAGTTGGTTTTTCATCGATTCACGACGATCGCGTCATCCGTTTACGACACCTCCCGCACCATCGTGTTCCTTGTGCCGTTCCGAGTCCACCGGTGTTCTCTTTTTTCTCCGGCGGCGGCGGCGCGTTGGGAGGTGAACCGGTCAAACTTCCCGATTAGTTGAAATCGAGCTCTCCGCCGTTCAAAATTGTGAACCGAGCTTTGTAAGTATCTCGAAATCGCTCAAAATAATTTTTAGAATTTTTCCGGGATTTATCACTGTTCACGCGCCCCCACGCGCCGCCACTGCGCGTGGGGAAGGGAAAAGTGACCGGTTTGACCGGTTTTGGAACTGTTTTGACCGGTTTGACCGGTCACAACCCGACCTGACCCGTTGACCCGACCCGTTGACCCAACCCGACCCGTTGACCCGACCCGTTGACCCGACCCGTTGACCGTTGACCCGTTGACCGTTGACCGGAATTGACCACTGTTGACCAAAACTTTGACCGGCTTTGATCGGGCATTAAACGACCTTTGACTTCGACCGAGTATACCTATCCTGATATTTTTCGACGTTCCAAATCCGATTCCGCTGTCCGTTTTTCAAAATTCGAACCCGAAGGCCTCGAAATTACCGGTCAAACCCGTTGACTTTGATTTTGACCGAAAATTCCAAATTTCCGAAAAGTCATATTTTATGCTTTCGACGTCTTGAATCCGAATCCGAAGTCCGTTTCTCCAAATTCGAACCCGGTAAGCCGTATTTCACTGATTTATCATCCGATTCGATTCGTTTATCGCAATTAAGCTCCGTTTCTGATATAATTTATGTTGATATGTATCTGAGGAATTATTGGAAGTTGAATTGAAGATCAAAGGCGTTCGAATGGAATTTTTATGGTCGATCAGTATTGCACGGAAATCGAGGTAATACTTTACTACCTCTTTATGCTTTATGGAACATGTTGATATTGGTAAATGCATGAATAAGATAATGTTGGTCACTTTGGTGGAGTTAAATAAATTATACACTCGATATGAATGTGGTAGAAATTCTGTAACTGATTACGGATCGAATGATTAATATAAGAGATTGAGAAATTGTTAGATTAAATTACAAGTTTGTGATTGGTGATAAAGAAATCAGCCCTGTATCTGCAACTTATAATTTATTTCATCAAAGGTTAAATGCTAAAAGTACTTGGATGAGAAATTATGAGAATACTCCGGTAGGGTAAAAATTACGAAAATACCCTTACGTTATAAAAAGACAAGATTTGAATATGGAAGTTAGGTAAGAGGATTTTACAGACATATTGATCTGATAAAATATTGATGTGCATAAGAAATGTTAGTTTTATTTGGAAATTATGGATAACCGGTTTTAATCCTAGGAGAGTTTGTGAAGGATACTAGAAGTTTGTTAAGAGAACCGTTTCAAGATCAGAGAGTGTTAGAAGAGTTTGTGAAGGATACTAGAAGTCTGTTAAGAGAACCGTTTCAAGATCAGAGAGTGTTTAAGAAAGCAATTAATCATAGGATCTCTAAATTATATTATTTTCGTTAAGAGCTAATATCGAAAAAAATATTGGTTAAGAAATTATGGAAATGCCCTTAAGAGGTAGAATAGTCTGAGTTAACGCTGAATGAGAAAATACTTTGAGGATTCGTACTTAACTCGATTAAGTACGGATTTGATTGTTAAGATCCTGACTTAGTTCAGGAAAATTCCTGATTTTTCGTTTGTAAAATCTGAGAAGGCACTTGACCCGAAAATATCCGAGAAATGAGTAAATACCTGAAGAAAAATTTATCGGGGGTATTCTGCTGTCAGAATTATTCGAAAGGACTGAAACAAATGATGAGATTGAATTAAATAATAAGATCGGATGGAGGAAAAAGATATAAATTGGAATTAAATAATAAGACCGGATAGAGGAAAAAGATTGAAATACCGTGGATCTGTAAAATGACCAAAATACCCATGTAATGGAAATGACCCAAGAATATCACCAAGCTCAAGAATGATTGGATATCCTCAAGCTCTGAAATGAATGGAGTAAAACTGAACACCAAATTACCAAATACTCTCATGACCTATACCAAGTAAATGCCTTGGATTAATTAAGGAATCCAAATAAGCATAGGTATTGGCCTATCTTTAAAAGTAATGAAACACAATTTAAGCGAGTAGATTAACCCTAAAGCTATGTCAATACCTGAATGACATAAATATTACTGGAATGCGTGTTCGTCTTCTTAAGTTTGACTCGATGATAAATTTTGGAAGTATTCAACTTAGTTCAACTCTGGATCGCATTCAATACTAAGAATTAGACGTTTGTTCGACAAATCAACCACGAAGACCAAATTGAATGGAACGGAAGTGCAGCATGTGTCTAAAATTAGGAACACTTGAATTACTCTATAAAATCCCGAAGTTTCTGGAATGAACTTGAATGCTAAATAAATTAAGTAACCACAAGGACTGCGGATTGAATAAGTGAGTTGGATAAGTGTGGAAACTCTGATGAGTTTACGTAGTGTACAATTACAATGGGTTATGAACTACAAATCAAGCATGTCAGTATGTCATGATATTGTGGAAGCTTGGAAACGAAATAAAGACCATTGGAAGATCTATTCAGCGATGATTCTGAAGATGATCTATGGACAAGAATTTGTGGTATTAACGAGAAAATACCCTGAAAGGAAAATGAATTGGCCAGTCGACATAGATTATTAAGATTCTGAATCTTCGTTCTCAAGATTGTTCGATTATCCGATCAATTGACATAGATGTAAAGGATTCTGAATACCCTTCTGATTACGTACAACTTCTGAAAACTGTCCGAATAAGATATGATCCTGATAATTCACATTTTGAATAACTGATGATTCCGTCAGTTATTGAACTTTTCCAATAGTGATTCTAAATTCCGACATTCTATCGGTATACTGAAATCCGTGTTTCTCTGCCTGCTAAGATTATTTAGCATCTCTGAATAATATCTGTAAACTCTGGTGTGTTCCCTAATCATATAAATATTTATCTGATTTCCGACTTGAATTCTGTTCTGATAAATGACCTGAATTCTGTTCTGATTTCTGATCTGGATTCTGTTCTGATATCTGTTCTGAATTCTGTTTTGATTTCTGATATCTTCGTTTAAAGACGGAAAAATGTTTTAATTGGGGGTATTGTTGAAGGAAGAATTTCCGCAGGTACCTCGGCTTTGTGCTCAGGGCCTTATATGTTGTGTTGGGTTGGGTGTATGGTTCTGGGGAACCTACACATTATGTTGTGATGGGATGGGGGTATATATATATATGTTTTAAAAAGATCTGAAAAGTTACATGGTTTTTGGGAACACACTAGAAAACCTATTCTGATCTCCTGAACTTAGTCATCCGAAATATTTCTCTGAACTGAAAGCTCATTGTCCGTTACCATATGAAATATCAGTAGGATCTCTGTTCAGCATAAAAATCTGTAAATGTTCGGAAATAATAAGGATATGTATGTTTATCTATATATGCACGTTCTTCAGCATGATCTGGTAGTTCTGTATTACTGAGCTTTTCGAAGCTCACTCTATTACTCAACATTTCAGGTTAAAAGAATTGTACCAGTGCATCTATCGACTTCAGTAAGGGAGTTCGTCCGGCGTTGTTGCAGAGTATGGTACACGTGATTAGGGGGCATGTAATTGTATTTTGATTTACATACGAGTCTGAAAATCTGTTTTATTTCTGCACACTGACAAATGATTTTATAAGTTTACATGTTATGATAAAAAGTTTTAAATTTTCCGCTATTTTTACAGTGGGTCGCTCCGGTGGCCCTAATGTGACTTCCCGGATAGGATCGGGTTACCCGCATCGATCTGGGGGGTTACAATATATATTTTAAAATTAAATTTGTTAATAATTAAGATTCAAGATCCAATTATTTTTTTAATCATACTAAACTACACCCAACTTTTAGTCCAAAATGAAAAAAAATATATAAACTACACCCAAATTATTTAACTAAAATACTTGTAAAAGATTCGATTAATTTAAAATCTAACAAATTAACCGATTGAACACTTTTAATTTCGAATTCTTTAGGGAGATTTTCATTCTTTCTAATCGTTAAGACATTCAATAAATTCATAATGATTATTTTTATAAAAAATAATAAATAAGAAAAAATAATTTATATAAAATCATATAAACATAAAGAATTGATATCAAAAACTAATTTTACAAAAAAAATATATTTATTAATCTTATGAAAATTATTTTTCGAAGGTATGAAATGGACACAAGAGTGAGATAAAATAAAAATAAAAAAACCTAGAGAGAGAGTTTTTGTGTGTAAGAAAAAGAGGCAGCCATATCCAAAAGGGCTGTTGTCGGCTTCGACCGAACATTGACACCAACAAAACTCATTGCCACCGTTCGCTTCACTTCTTTCTCCTTTCTGTTCTTTACTTGGTATATTTTTGGATCTGCTTTGTTTTTCTTCTTTACAAGCCTAATTTCTATTTCTTTGGGTCCTTCAGATTGAACAGGGAGCAAGCACTCGAAGGTAACTTCTTTTCCCCCCTTTTAAATTGGTACTTTGATTGCTCGCAAATGGAAGAAAATAAAGGAAGAAATGCTATTCTTTTGTTGCACTTGTTGACTGATAATTCTGCTTACTGGTCACCAATTAGTTTGATTCACTGCTCTTCTTTTTGTTTTTTATTGGAGAAAACAGACCTTTTTATCAGATCTCAATTCATTTTAATTTATGTTCTCCGTAAATATGTTTTCTTTCAATTCTGTCTGTATGACATATACAATATGTATGTTGGAAGATTGTGATTTCTGTAATTGCACAATCGTTGGATGTTAATCTCATTTTCATGAAGTAATTGTAATGGTAAATTCAATATAATTAATAGCTGTGCTATTTGTTGCAATGGGGAAATTTATATTTACTTGAATACTTATATAAATCCACTGCTGTAGGGTTCCCATTGATTGATTGATTTCTGCTGATCTCTTTTGGGGTGCTTCTATGGCTTTTGCGGCACCCAATATTCCATCTGCTGAACAACAACCAGGTTTGTGAGTTTTTATATGGTATACATCTTTTCCCATGTTTTAATATGCAAGCTGAACTCTTGTTTCAAAAATGTACTGGTTTGTTTCTTGGTATCACAAAATATTATGGTGACTTATTATTTATTATCATTGTCTTCTCTGTCTTCCGTTTTATGTGATCGCAGATGACCCTTTGTATCGTGAACTATGGCATGCCTGTGCTGGACCTCTTGTCACGCTTCCTCGTGTGGGGGAGCGTGTTTATTACTTCCCACAAGGTCACATGGAACAAGTATGTCTACTGTACAATAAACTTGAATCTGATAACTTTTTTATATGGACTATATTTGGTAATTTAAGAAGATGGTCTGATTTGGATTGTGTTTCTTAAAATGTTGGTTGAGTTGGTTTGTGAACCTTTTCCACAGTGTTCTTATTTTGAATGATAATGATTCTATATTAGTTAATAGTTAATACGGTGCCTGCAAGCACAATCCAATCAAGAAGATAGTCCGATTTGGATTGTGCTTCTTAAAATGTTGGTTGAATTGGTTTATGAACCTTTACCATAGTGTTCTTATTTTGAACAATAATGATTCTATATAAGTTAATACGGTTATCATATGGTGCTTGCAAGCACTTGGTTCTTGCCTTCTTGGTTATTTTATGAAGAAGAAATCATCTGGTATTAATATTGGGTCATGCTTTAAAAGAAAAATTCGGTATGATTCTCTCATTTTGGTGAATCACTGATAATAACTTGGGCAAACAAAAATTTTAATGTCATATGCTGTGTCTTGAAACCTTATTAACTTGTGTTGTCAGATATATTTGAGGATTGGTCTCAATTCATATGATACAATGAATTACAAAATATTTATAGAAATATATAATTTCCTTCGTGTCTAGAGTCTGTAAGAATATATTTATGTTATGTATGTATTTACAAGAATATTTGTATACATTTGCGTGTCAGAATGTTTGCTGTCAAGGTGGTGTGTGTTAAATACTTCGAAGATTATTTAGAATACATTTGTTATTTAGTTTTTCTAATAAAACTCTGGTGATCTATTGAAGACTTTTTTCCTTTATGATTAGTAGTGTTAGGTGTAGGTTTTATAACTTGACACAATGTTCCTTCTATTAATCCCAAGTATCTTTTTTATTCTTTATGTTCAGCTTGAGGCATCAATGCATCAGGGGTCAGAACACCAAATGCCTTCATTCGATCTGCCATCTAAAATACTTTGCAAAGTGGCTTCTGTTCAACGTAAGGTACGTAATTAATACTTCTTGGTTTTACGTTCTTCTGAGTTTTACTGATTCAATTCCTTGCACTGACTTTTACCTTGAGCTGCAGGCTGAACCTGATACAGATGAAGTTTATGCCCAAGTAACTCTTGTACCTGAAGTAGATGTTAGCTCTCTCCCTCTTTTTGTCTCTTTTCCTGTCTAATTCCTTCATGACTTGTAGTTTATGTTGAACAGGTTTAGTTTCTAGGATATCTTGTTGGAATTACTTTGAATGAGTTGTATATATATATATATATATATATATATATATATATATATATATATATATATATATATATATATATATATATATAATATTTTCACTGCCCTCACTTATGTGTTTTCTCCAATATTGTCCAGCAAAGTGAGGTTATGAGCCCAGATGACCCGCTTCCAGAACCTGAAAGATGCATAGTCCATTCATTTTGCAAAACTCTCACAGCTTCTGACACAAGCACCCATGGTGGATTCTCAGTTTTGCGCCGGCATGCAGATGATTGTCTTCCCCCACTGGTCAGCTTAAACACATTGATTGCATTTCCTTTGTTTTAAGATACTCCATAAGTTAGAATTTTTCTGAAATTTCTCTGTGGTTCTTTTCCCAGGACATGACACAGCAGCCGCCATTGCAGGAACTGATTGCAACTGATCTGCATGGAAATGAGTGGCATTTTCGGCATATCTTTCGAGGTTATATATCGTTACCTTTTTGGCTGATATTTTTATAGGTTTCCCTAGTGAATATGGAAATTTTCAAGCACCTAAGCCGCAAGCTCGGTCAATGTTTTGTGCTTGTGCTATCTGGTTACTTGGGACCCTTTTTTACAGTCTAATGTACTGTTACTTTTTTAATTTTGCTGAACGTTTATGAATGTAGAATTAAGGACAAATAAGGCATCTTATGACCTTGAATCAAGAAGCTTGAAAATTATGTAGGCCATGGTTAGAATTAGAGAAGAACCTTCTGACATTTGTTGGTTGCTATTGAAGTTTTATGAGGTTGGTCACTTATCACCTTCAAATGACCAAATTAATATTGGATTTTTTTAATGAATTGGTATCTCTCAGGTCTTGTGAAATTGTTACTTGTAGAAACTAGAAGAATTGATTTCCTAAATTAAAAGCTCAAGAAGATAAATGAAAAATTGTTTTGGGTTGATTACTTCATGTTAACTATGGACACGTGAAAATTGAATGATCATGCTTTCTGTGATCTAGTTTTTTTCCTTAATCTGTTAGCATCATTCGGAGCCACATCTTGTGTTTTTCTTTATCCAGTTTTGCAATCTGTAGTTTGAAGGTGTTCCGTTTAAAATTGAAAAAAAAAATAGTGTGGTATTGTGATTGTATTATAGTTTTATCTTTTGAGACATATGTTACTTCTCTATCTATTGTAGTGTGCTTCTAGTGATTTGAACTTAATAGCGTTTCTTGAATCTCATTTTCACCATTAAAATGTTAAATACTAATTGCAGGGCAACCTAGGCGCCACTTACTCACTACTGGGTGGAGTGTCTTTGTTAGTTCCAAAAAGTTGGTAGCTGGTGATGCTTTTATATTCATGAGGCAAGATCTTTCTTCACAAATCAGTTATCCGTTCTCTTGTTACTTTTGTTCATTTCACCACCCTATTACCTATGTATTCATATTTTCTTCTCTCCAGGGGCGCTAATGGGGAGCTGCGTGTTGGAGTGAGGAGGCTTATGAGACAACAGTCAAATATGCCATCTTCTGTTATATCTAGTCACAGCATGCATCTCGGAGTGCTTGCCACTGCATCTCATGCGCTTTCTACCCGGAGTATGTTTTCTGTCTTCTACAAGCCCAGGTCTGTATTTTTTCTCTCATCCTGCAGAGCCAACCAATTGTAACCCTATGTCATAATTTGTCATTTTTTCAATATTCTTGGCCATTTTTTTGTTATTATTAATCTTTTATGATATTTATTATAGTCAGATCATTTCATTTACTATTTAATTAAAAATAAGAAACTGTATGTTGCAGATTTTGAGTTTATTAATGTTAGTACTTTTTATTTGTTATAATTCTTGTTTGACCTCAATTTTGATTCTTTGTGGATTGAACTTGTAAGCATCTTGATCTCTTCTATTGTTTTTATTTATTCTTCGTTCAGCATGTATTAAATATACTTCTTACGGGTTAGCTGCATTAGATTTGGATATATTTACTCGGATGTGATACTTTAAGAAGGTGATAGGGTTTAGGGTATTATATGCATGCACTTTCTCTATGGATGTACATTCTGTCTTTTCCTTTCTCTTCGTATTTTGTGGCTTTTTTAGTGGGGTCCGATAAACTGAAGATCCTTTTTAAGCTTCCATGTGTATGGACTTCTTGAATTTTTTTGTTGCCCTGATATATTTGAGTTATTGTGTTTTGTATGTATTTGTTGAAAGACGATATTTGTTCTAACAACCATTCTATTTACTAGAACAAGTTTGTCCGAGTTCATAGTGAGTGTAAACAAGTATCTTGAAGCTCGAAGCCATAAGTTATCAGTTGGTATGAGGTTCAAAATGAGATTTGAGGGTGAAGAGGTACCTGAAAGAAGGTATTGATTTGACTGAATTGTTTTTCTAGGGGTAGGAAATTGGTAGTACTTGCTAACGGGCAAAGATTTTACACGTGCAGATTCAGTGGCACAATTGTTGGTGTTGGGGATAACAAATCATCTGCATGGGCTGATTCCGAGTGGAGATCTCTCAAGGTTAACCCACTTCTGTAATTTCTTTTTTGTTCTCCATTGCATCAAGAAACACTTGGGATATTCGACTTCTGAACGCATTTTACAATGTTGACAATTTTCAGGTTCAATGGGATGAATCTTCATCAATCGTACGTCCTGATAGGGTGTCCCCATGGGAATTGGAGCCTCTTGTTGCAACTAGTAACTCTTCTAACTCGCAACCTGCACAAAGGAACAAGCGAACTCGACCACCCGTTCTACCTTCACCATCTTCAGATCTTTCCTCACTGGGTACAATTGTTTACTTGTCAATACCCTTATTTAGCTCTTGCTTGAGATTTTATTTACCAATTTATGCAGCAGGTATATGGAAATCTCCAGGTGAATCTCCTTTCTCATACTGCGATGCACAGCGTGGACACCCATCACCTAAATTAACCTCTTCCGCCAAGCCTAACTCTGTTGGCTTTAGTGGGAATAGCTCCCTGGCTGCAGTTTCTAGCAGCTCAATGTATTGGCCTAACCGAGTTGAGAATGTTACGGAATCTATTGCACCAGTTGTGAACAAAGAATCCAGTGAACGAAAGCAGGGAACCGGGAATGGCTGTAGGCTTTTTGGTATTCAGTTACTTGACAACGTGAACACGGAAGAAATTTCAACTGTTGCTACAGTTTCTGGGACTTTGGGAGATGACCAGACAGTTCATTCTCTAGTTGCTAACTCTGACCAGCAGTCTGATCCGACAAATCCTAATCGGTCTGATCTTCATTCTATAAGTTGTGAACCTGAGAAGTGCCTGAGATCTCCTCAGGAGTCACAAAGCAAGCAAATTCGAAGCTGCACAAAGGTCATTCAATCTCTCTTTTTTTTTTTTAAGGCTCGAGAAGGAAACATATATTTCAGTACATTTATTTTTCTATTTTACATTGTACAAGATCATTCGTGTGCATGCCGCCACTTAGTAGCATTTTGTTAAACAAGCATATCATTTTTCAGGTTCATATGCAAGGTATGGCTGTCGGAAGGGCTGTCGATTTGACAAGATTTGACTGTTATGAGGATTTGCTAAGGAAGCTGGAGGATATGTTTGACATTAAAGGTCAGCTCTGTGGATCTGCGAAGAATTGGCAGGTTGTCTACACGGATGACGAAGATGACATGATGATGGTTGGGGATGATCCGTGGAAGTAAGTTCGATCTTCCTATCTCTCAATGTTGCTATATTCTTGTTTGCAGGACATTCTTAATTAACTTGATGCATAACTGGATCCTTATCCGAAAAGAGAAATGTATACATGTTTAGAAGTAATCCAACTTATTTTCTTTCATCTTTAACAATACAAATTCTTGGATAGTTACAAAACATCTATCTGCGATTTTAATGATACAGTGCGAATCTGAGTTCTGATACCGATTCCCCTTGATCCTTTGTTACTCCAATCGCAGTGAGTTTTGCAGCATGGTGAGGAAAATTTTTATTTACACATCAGAGGAAGTCCGAAAGCTATCACCCAAGGCAAAACTTCCAGTGAACGATGATGGAAATGCAGGCAACGCCAGTGTTGATACTGTTGTCAACCCCGAAGACCGTTCATCGATTGTTGGTCACGGATGCTAAGGTAAACATGGCCCTTTTTTGCACTGCAGGAACATAGTGGTTCCATAGAAGAGTTTGAGAAGGAAGATGGTGCTCAAGATCTTGTTATATATGCATTACCTTGATGATATATCACTACTGATTATTGATTTGGATTTTAAATAGCCTAGAAACGTCATTTTTTTTGCTTTATTCTTTTCTTGTGTTGATTTATTTTTCTTACATAATATATATCCTTTGTATATAGATATACACACAGCTTTGCTCCTTTGTTTGGAATTTAGTTTCTAAATTTGATAACTATTTCTATTCTTGAGGATGTGTATGTGGAAAAAAAAAACATTTAGGGAATAAGTTAATTAAATTTATTAAATTTAGAGATTAAATGTAATCCCCTAGACTCGATCTATGCGTTACGATCAGATCTAGTGTATTATAGTAAAATTTTTAAAACGTTATTCGATAATTTAAATCTATATTATAAATAGCATCTTTAAAAACATAGTTAATAACGATAAAATCTAAACGACTAAATATAAAACCATAAGTGATTGAGTAAAATAAAATATGTCATAATCAGTATCTCAGAAAATCTAACATCAATAGCAAAAGTAGTATTAGTCGTAAAACAAGTATTTTAAAAAAAAGGCTTATGTCACCGAAAATGAAGGCAGTTCGACAGATAAAAACATTACAACAAAATATATTGTATGAAATGTGTCGGTCTTCCAAGTGTCAGGTCCGGAGTGCCTATCCAAAAGTATCTGAAAGGAAAAAAAGTTTGAAGAGTGAGCGAGGGAGCTCAGTGTATTTCAATAGTGCAAAGAAAACGTCGTAGAAAAGTATTTAGAAAAATAATTCAGTAAGGTTTCATAAGGTAACAGTGAGGTTTATATTTTAAAATTCATAACTACCCTCCTACGTACATCGTAATGCAATCCTCAAACTACATCCATAAAGACTTACTCTATACCTATTGGGTATAAGAGTCAACCTAAGGGAGCATCTTGAGGCCTGAGAGCCTACCCAAGAAAGTTCTTGGGGCCTCAGAGCATACCCAAGGGTAACCTTAGGTCCGTAACGAATTACTAATTTGATCAAAGCTAAACTTTTATACTCTAGTATCCTACCCAAACAGTATCACAATAAAACAATTCATATAGAAATCAATAAATTCCATGATCCATAATCGTGCACAATCATATTTCTCAATGAAAATAGGTAACTAGAGAGCATATATCAAACAACCATCGTTCATAAATGGTAATTCAATAAATCAGTAAATCAGAATATCGAGCAGTTAAAATATTCGTAAACTAACAAGATAACAAATCATATTTTTCAAAACAGATAAAAATTCATATATTACATAGGAAACACACTTGGCAAAAAGGGATCAGTCAGCAAGTTTACCGAGCACCTGTCTTGCCACGCTCTGCAGCAGTTCTCGAACCTAATTCATAATGCAACAAATTTATTATCGAAATAATATTTTAATTCAAATATTCCTAGGGTTTACGGATCATACGAGTAATCACTGGCTTACGAAGTCGAATTGATCGAGAGGAGCTGAGTCGAGCTATCAATCGGTTGGGAGAGTCTCGAGTACCTTCAAATAATAACAAACAAATTAATCCTTGTCCATGCATTGGGTCAAGGGTTCGAAACCCCTTAGTTACAATTTCCAATTTTTTTATTTTCTCTAACCCAAAAATAGGAAAGTTCAGGACTAACTAAACATTCGAAATTGACCCATAAATTTTCAAAAATATTCAATATAGTCCCTTAAATCAATTAATTAATTTTATAATTTTTAATTTAAAAATGGGGGTGTGACATTAAAATTACTTTTTTTTATATACAAATATAGAGCATGGTAAATATTGATTTAGAAAGTTCACATTTAGAAGCTCATGATCATGTATTTGAATACGAAGTAATTCTTTTAATTATTTTTTAATTTTTTTTAGAGAAAATAACTTCAGTGACAAAAAATGCCTTATAATATACGAATTTAACCAACTTTTTTTGGATTTGCCAAAATGACCAATAAATTCGCAACGCGAACTCCAATTTCGCAACCCAGTTTCCAATTTCGCAACGCGAATATGTCGCATTACGCTTTTCCAAATTCGCGTTGCGATTTTACAATTTTCGCAACTTGAATCTATAAATCGCAACGCGAATTTGTAAATCGCAACACATAAGTTAAATTCGCAACGCGATAGTCAAATTCGCAACACAAAGTCAAATTCGCAACGCGATAGTCAAATTCGCAACACAAAAGTCAAATTCGCAACGCGAATTTGTAAATCGCAACACAGAAGTCAAATTCGTAACACGATAGTCAAATTCGCAACGCGAAAGTCAAATGTTTTTACGCGAAACACAATATTAATTTCGCAACACAAATGTAAACAATATTATCGCAAATCATCTCTAACCTAAAACCCTAAATCACAACTCAGTCTCATCTCCATCTCTAACCTAAAACCCTAAATCGCAACTCAGTCTCATCTCCATCTCTCACTCTCTACGACAAAATCCGTCCCCATCTCCGACGAAATCCGTCTATCTCCATCTCTCAGAGCAACCCTCACAACCATTCACGGTCAGAAATGGAAAATCAACCACCGAGGGTTAGTTTTTTAATCTCTTATTTTTATTTTGAAAATTTTGTATTATTATTAGATTTTTCTTATATTGATGATAAATTTACTGGTAATTTCAATATATATAGATTAACCATTTCACTGAGATTGCTTAGTAAATTCATTCGGTTGCTGCCAATACTGCTAAACTGCTTAGTATTTGTCTTTGTTTTATCTTTTTGTTGAAGAAACCCTAAATCGCAACAACAAAATCGCAACGCGATTTTAGTTTCGCGTTGCTATTTTCATTTTCGCGTTGCGATTTTCTTTTTCGCGTTGCAAATTTAAGTTTCAGAAACTTCTTTTATTCTTTAAATTGAAACTTGAATGAATTGCATTACTTCAACCAAAAAACAAAGACAAATACTAACTTCACAGTGCTGCTAATTTAAGTTTCAAGAATAAATTACTACTCTTTATGTTGTCCTTGAACCTGCACTAAACTTATATGTTGTCCTTTTAAATGTTTATATAAGTGCTTACTTCTGGAATATTATCTGATGCATTTTGTGAACTGACTTGGTTGAATACCGTGCTAGTTTGAAACATATTTGGCTTTGTTTTCACTGTTTAATATCATGTCTGTTTATAGTGTATAATAAGGAGTTTTTGGTATATCTAACTGTATGTTTATTATTTTTGTAAAAAAAAAATTTCGGCTGCATTGACCTTAAGGAATAAATTAAGCCTAGCCACTAAAATTGCGTCGACGCTTACACCTCTACAAAGAAAATTATTTGAGGATACTTGCTTCGGGCCATAGCTGAAAGTGCAACATACGGGTGGAGATGCTATGTTGACACATTTGTTTCTTCAGACCATGACTAACGATCTACCCGAGGGGATACAACGTGGTGATGAGGAGTTTTGGTTTCATTTTCCTCCGGCACATACTTGTTTTGGGCGGGAGGAGTTTTCTTAATCACTGGTCTAAGCTTCGGACACGATGATGTAGGTCGGTATACTAGTCATATCGCCCGCTCTTCATGGTTATCTCTAGTTTTCCTGAGCTGGCAAAGTCGAAGCCGAGTTTACACGTCGACGACTTGAAGAGATTATTTGATAAAGATTGTTTTATTCGGATGGATGACCTTGATGTTGTCAGAGTATGCCATTTATTACTTTTGCATGTCGACTTTTTAGGCAAAGAGGGTAGACAACCTATCTTTGAGGACCTAATATTATTGGTAGAGGACCTAAATGCATGGAACCTGTTTCCGTAGGGTTCATATCTATGGAAAGCTACCTGGAAGAAGTTGTCGTCTGCCTTTAAGGACCGAAAAAGTTTACGGGGCGATGGTTCTAAATACACTTTGACAGGCTTTACTTGGGCCTTTAAGGTAAGAATTTCTATAATGTTTCCAAAATTATAATTAATTATTTAACAATTACTAATGTTTATGTATATATTGTTTGTAGATTTGGATATTTGAGGCTTTCCCCAGCATGCAGACATATGCGATAAAAAGATCAAATGATATTCCTAGGGCTATTACCTGGAAGAGGATTCGCATGTTGGATTGGGAAGAGTTACTCCCATATACGACGATGAATGATGTAAGTTAACACACAAATAATACCATATATAAACAAGTTATTACTATTACAAGTTTAACTTTGTTTGAGCTTTTATATTGTTAGGAGGCCAACTATCCATTACAGAGGGTGACACCCACAGAGGCTGAGCTTGCCACTGATTGGTGGCGCGCTAGTAAGCGGTTTTTTGATGGGACGGTTGATGAGCACCCCTACTTCGAGAGCCATCACCTGATCGGGCCGATTCTACAGCTCGAACCCCGGAGCCATCACCTGATTGAGCCTCTTCTCTACCTCCACCATCACCTATTCCATCACATCATCGAGCCTCTCTCCACCATCACCTCATGATAGATGACCGAAAAAGAGGCCACGACATTTATCTCCCTGTTCTCCACCTCCACGAGATGAGTTAGGGGAATTACGTGATGAGGTCGGTGCTTTGCGTCATGAGGTAGGTACTTTACGTGAAGATAATGGTGCATGGCGTGATGAGGTTCGATCTTTACGTGGTGAGGTGGATTTTTTATGCGATGATAATGGTGCGCTACGCGGTGAGGTATCTATTTTACATGATGAGATTGCCGCTCTACGCGAGATTGTTTCATTGTTACAGAATGAGGTTCATACTCTACGCAATGAGGTAAATTTGTTTAATACTATACTAAAATGTAAATAACATTTTTCGGCATTATTTATTTATTTACTGATTTATGTATTAATTTATTTTCAGCGGCCCGATAAGGTAGATGCTTTACGTCGGGTTTTTCTTGCACGACGAGGTTCACGTATCAGACGTCGTGCACGTGCCATTACATCTCCGTTCACCCCACTAGTGCCAAGACTCCGTAAGAATAAGCCCGATGCACCTATCATCATTCAAGAGGCACTTCCTATCGTTCAAGAGGCCCCTCTCATCATCGCAGAAGCCCCTCCCACCGTTCAAGAGGCCCCTGTCATCGTTCAAGAGGTCCTGCCTGCCGTTCAAGAGCCTGATTCACATGGCGTCATAAGTCGACATATTGATAAATCCCCTCCCGTGCCCGATATGATGGATGCGAGTTG